ATTATCGACTGGATATGTGCTTCGACGTGATCAGCTATATTGATATCCTTTGCGTAACGCTTGTGAAGACTTTTATCACGTCATCACATACGGAATTAATTTTGTTCTGCATTTCATGCCTCGAGTTTAGTAGCCAGTAAACCATACCTTTGCCTTTTCTCGGTGTTGTCAATCTTTCCTGACTAGTGATGCCAGCCTCTATCAGGATTACTTTACGTCGCTTTTTATCGTGCGCTAGGATGACCGCTCGATCCACATTTATTTTACCTTTATTTTTATTGTTATTCGCCTACCGACTCTTATCTCCACGTTCTAATTCGTGACAATCCTGGAGGCCGGAGGGGTTTTGCATGCGTGGAATGCTTTCAGACTGTACTTCTTACAAAATCCGAAGTAGATGCATCGTAGCGCCTAACTATGAATTCTAGCGTAGTCATGATGCAGCACTTTTATCCTAAAGGTGGTAGTATCCGTGTCTCATTTTGTTTGATTCATCATGCTAGCCATGTTGATGGATCGAACTTTGAGATTAAGTATCCTTTTATGTATCTGCATGATGGGTTTTTTCTATCTCACTCTACAAAAGCACTTTCTGGTCTGCTGATAGATTTTTGAGCGTTTGATTATCTATAAGGTTTTATTTAATCTGGAAGTTGAGAACTGTTGCGAAGTACGTGTTATGAGCCTTCTTCTTCAAAATCGTCGTCGTCCTGTTGCGTTAAAAGTGCGATATCTATAAGCCATTGTGAAGCTGGCGAACATAAGCTCACTCCTCTGTTTAGCACTGTCTTGGTTATTTGGTTTTTCAGTTCACATCATTATTTTGTCCTTTTCTTCTATTATATAATATTTAAGTTAAAAAAGTATTTTTTTAAATTTGCCATAATTTTAAGTATAGCTTTTTGTCCGTAAGACGGCATGGGACTTTCGTATTTGTTAATCTAATTTAGAATCTTTTATTAAAAAATGGTTAAAATTTTTTAATTACTTGTCAAGTTGTTAAGTATGTCACATAATTTTATTTTTATATATATTTGTTTTTTTTTCTTTCTTATGATAGATGTTGTTTTGTTTCGATTTGGGTTATGCACCTTTTTACTCTTGTTATTAGCTTTTTTTTGAAATTAGTTTGTTTTTCACTGTTTTATTATTTTATGTTTTTTCGTATGTATGCCTCTTTTGTATAAGATATCTTGATTGTTTATTTTTTGCCATTTTGTCTTTTTAATTGGGGTGAGAATGGTTTCTTGATTGTTTTCAGCGAGTCTTGTATTATAGGAAAGGAAAAGAAATAACAAAAACCACCTTATTTTTTGGAATTAGTAGTTTTTTTTGTAATTTGTTATATAATAATAAGAGTTAATCGTGGTAGATTGTGAAGATTTAAATGGCATTCCTTTAATACATCTCTTTCAGTATATGAAAAGTAATTGACTTCTTGTAAAAATAGATCACTGCATTCATTATTTGTATTAAAGAACTGGTATAAAATTTTTCAGCACATCTTTTTTCTATGCTTTACTATTTATAAATTATGAATGACCCATGATTCAAGTTTATGTAAAACCGTTCTCCTAGAAATACGATAACTGAAATTCATATCTTAAAAAAGTTCATACTTTCTTAACCAAATCAAAATATTTACTGAAAAGTCATACCCCTTGCAGTTATGAACCGTAATCAGTTTAAAACACTAAGTTAATACTTTTAGCAATATTTGAGATCTAGAAGTTATTACTTATTTTAGAAAATAATGTGTACATCATTTCTTCTGTTTGTTTGTTTGTTCACGTTAACCATATTTTAGAAATTGAATCATTTTTTAATATACTTCTTTTCTGTATACAGCAATTTTCGATTGTTGAATGGTTGTCACATTTCTAGGTTTGGATATTGCTGACAAGAAAGCTGGAGTTTTGGAACAGAATTTTTAATTTGATGTAATGAACCATTTAGAAAGTTATAGAACAGTTTACTTACTTAATAATATAAAAAAGAGCAGAAAGGCAGAAGAAGATTGTCAAAGATGGGACATACTTTCAACCTGCAGTTTTCTTCGCTGACCAGTCAAAAATTCTTGTGTACATAATATGCAGTTCTGCGCATGATGATAAAACATTCAAGGCTAATGAGCCATTTTTGTTTGAGCTTTGTAAATTTGACATTATTTTATTCATTGAACACTACTATGGATGGATGATTTTTTGCATGTTTCCAGTTACTACCTCCGTAAAATAACATATGGTGTTTGACTGATGAATTTACATCAAATAAATCAGAAATGTCTGATGAAGGAGTAAATAAAATTGTTTACGTGTACAAATTGCAATCAATACGTAATTCAGTTCGAGAAAAGCCTTAAAAATTAAAATGGCATTTCTTTAGAAAGTCGGAGAGTCACTTTCCTGTTGAAACCATTGTGATTAGAGCGGGAAAAAATAAGTATTCCGTCTTCACAAATGTTTTTTGAGCAAGGAAGAATGAAATAGCAATGATAAATAATAGACATTACTTTTTACCATCGTCATAAAAGTGTAAATTTTTGTTAGTAATAGCATTCAATAATCATTCAAAAATCACAAATTAATTAACTTTAATTTGTAAAGAAATCACTGGTCATAATTGTAAGAGTATTCAATTCGTCAAAAGCGGAATTTTAAAGTTTGATATCACATATTTACTGAAGTAGAAATTTTGCAAACCAGAAAATCAAAGTGTAACTTATCAGGAGTAATATGGAAAAGACTAAAGTATTGTAATCAATGTTCATGATTCTGTGCAAAGTCATACAGAGCCAAATACAGTCTTCCACGGTGTGAAGCATCTTCATGATAATTATTCATATTTGTGTCAGGACTATTTTGGTTTTTTAATTTCAGCTGATGAATTCTGCCTTTGTACTGTAATCTTAGAATACGGTACTTGTGATTGCATTCAAACAATCAAAACAAAGATTGGGATGTATCTTTTTGATGAAAGAGAGATAAGGAAATCAACCGCATAGCATCATATTTGCCGAATTAATGTCATGGAATAGGAATAAGAAATAATTGTGCTGTTTCGAGAGATATATTAATTGTCTCTTGGCTACTCATTTTCAGTAT